CGCACTGCCGATTTTGGATCAAAATTTAGGATTTTTAGTGCGGCTTATGGTCGTGAAAATACGGTATGTCTGTGAAAGTTGGACTATTTGAAAATCTGAATCAAGAAAAATTGATCTTTCAACTGTAATGCTAGAGAAAATTAATGAGATCACAGAAAGAACAAATAATACTGAAATAAAATCAGACTGCTCACTAAAGGAATAATTAAGCTATAACATAATTATTCTGCAGCAATGATACAGAAACAAACATTATTGGAAAAGAACCTGGTTTTCAGAAAAATTGAAATGTATATGTGTGTATTTGTTCGCTTGTGCTGGTTAACAAATGCAATGTTTATTTCAGAAAAATTGAAGACAATTGAAAAAGCAGCTGACAGGAAGAAAAAGTGGTTAAATAATGTCACCAATCACCCAACCACAGCTCATGCTTGGGTGATTGATGACATTATTTAACCACTTTTTTTTATAAGTACCAACAGTCCATGCAAAACAATATTCATTAGATCACAAAAATTCAGAAGTATCTGGATAACAGGTCTTAAATAGAAGAGTATCATGTACACAGATGTATGACATTAATAATAATCTATGTACTTAGATGCAGCATTATATAAATCTTATAGAGTTTATTGGCTGACCTCTGTTTGAAATATTGCCAATAAGAAGCTGAGATTAGTACCTAGTAACAGCTTTATGGAAAGCGAGTTATTTCAAAGCTACAAGAATGTCACCAATGTCACCTCTTTCATTTGGTTCACCTTAATTTCTACAATCAGGTAAACTGTAGCTATACATTACCTGCAATCTGTACAATTTCTGAAGAAGTTTAAAAGGCATATTGTTGCATGATTGGGGGGAAAACCCCACTTTGAGGTGTACATAATGCTATTGACCACAGTCAATCTTCGTCCCATGAGAAATAGGCCATGTGCAAGGAAAGACACATAGCCTCGCCATAGCTTCTAATCCGGTAGTTTGGTTTCCCTTTTTTTAAGCGTGCACTTGAAGTGGTTAGACTTTTGGCTGAAAAGTAATGCATTTCTAGTTTATGTGATAGAATTTTAAAAAGGAAAAAAAACCCTGATCGATAGAACAGAGAGGTTTTGAATTGCAAACCCTAGAATTATAAAAAAAAAAATCCCATCGTTAACTAGCTAGACCTGGGTTTCTAAACATTGAACGGTTGTCCCGAAGTAGTTTTTACGACCTGTTTTCTTCGCCTACATGCTGTTAAAAGACGTAGCAAACTTGTCCTGATTCTCCTGAGGCTGCCAGTTCTTACCGGTGGACCGACAAAATAGCATTTTGAGGAAATTCCAAAGGGACGTCTAACATACGATATCGACTCCAGTTATCCGTTAAAAGGAGGAGCCTCTCCATTTCCCTTCGTTCTCTATAGTCGCCGGGGCTTCTCACGTGACCTTTTTAACGGCTCAGTATGCGGCGGGTGGAAGTTCCTGTAATCTATGGTTCTTTTTGGAGAAACTGTCCTCGCTGTCTATGGTTTTCATGGGGCCGATGGGAGGTCGGTGTGCACATTCCTCTCCCATTACCTCACACTCAAAGAAGGGGCCGCCGGGAAGGTGGAGGACCCGGGCTCTCCTGCCTTGCTTCAGCTCTGTTTAGCCGGCGGCCGCTCCGCGCTTCTTCGTCCGATTCCGCTGTGCGGTTCTTTCCCACGGCCTGTCTTGCCCTCCCTTCCCCCTGCCCCGCTGGGTCCACTTCTCCAGCTCTCGCCCGCCCTGGCCCATGGCTCCATGAAGCGCGGGGTAGTAGAGGTGGCGGCGGCGGCGGCGGGGAGGCAAGAGCAGGAGGAGCGGCGGTGGCGGCGGCGGTGGTGGTGGCGACGGCGGTGGTTAGGTTGAAAAGTAACTGGAGTAGGGAACCGTCTTCGCGTCAAGGAAAGAAAAGGTGCGCCGCGCCAGGCTCTTTTTTTGGGCAACCCCGTCCCTGGGGGAGGGGAGGAGGCAGGCAGGCAGGCAGAGTGTAGGCAGCCTTTCGGCTCTCCTCAGATCTCACCGCAGACCCTTGCCTCGCCTCGCCTCTTATCCCGCAGACCTTCAGGTGAAGCTCGCCCTCCTGTCTCCTTGCCTGTCGGCGATCTTGGGAAGCTTTTCCTTTCTGCCTCCCTTTCCTGCCAGGCCAGCGGGTCGCTTCCCGTTTGTTCCGCTCTGCTGCTTGCTTCCCTTAAGATCGAGGGGAGGGAGAGGGGTCTTGAGCCTATCTGATTGCCAGGTTCTTGGCTAAAGGCAGGCGGTAGCCCCATTAACGATCAAAACGCGGATCGAGCTCACTGGGTGACTTTGGCAAGCTTCCCTTTTCCTTGCTGTTTTCCTGTCACGTTATTATAGATTGGTGTTGGGGAATTGTATGAATGAAGAGAATCCCAAGTTATTATTTTTTTGCATTTGCTAAAATTATCCAGGTTGTTCCTTGCTCTGTACTGTACAGTATGTGCAGTAATGCCTCCATACAGGAACATGCCCCAGGTCAGTACAGTTGGTCCCTAATATGTTCTTAGAATTGCAGCTGTGGTCAGCTAAATTCATTTACAATATTCTACCTTTTTTTAATTTTTACTTGGGGTGGGAGTCAAGAGAAAGTCTGCATATAATTGTGCCTTAATTAGAAGTAAAATTCACAACTTGAATGTAGCAAGAAATAGGCTTTTCTGAAAACATTTTTTTCCCCTTCTAATCTTTTTATTCCACACCAGTGTTACATATTTCAGTGATAAGTTCATGTCCTTGTCCCTCCTTGTTGTTGGATATTTCTAATAATTTGTATTCTTCTACTTTACTTTTCTCACTTTTTTCTACAATGCTCCCCATATATGTTATATATTAAATAAAATTTGTTCCAGACACTGATATAGTTACTTTCAGAGGGAGAGGGAGAGGGAGAGAGAGAACATTTTATTTGTAACATAAAATGTATTTAAATAAAGATTTAAGAGTGAAATATAAGAAAGATGAATGGGGACAGGGGAGACAAGGAAAAAAGTTTTTTCCCTCATATAGGAAATATTTTACAATGTATTATAGTCACTTTTGCAGGTCTGTTGACAGTCTAACAGTCTAATGCTGTTTAACTACATCTAAAAATTTATGGGTTTTATTTCTTTCTTTTCAGATTTGGAAACAGGAATGGGCCGTGAGAAAAGGAAATTCATTCCAGAAATAAAATAGCTTCCCCTTCCACCTGTCCACTTCCCCCTTGGCAGTACAAGGTTTCTGCTTTCAGTAAGCATTTATCTGAAGCCTAATATATAAAAGCTTGTTAGTATAAAAAAACAAATAGCTTGTAAATAGTGATGCTAACAGTTGTGACAGCTGTTGCTATTCCACACTCCAGCAAAATGGAAAGGTCATCTTCTAGCTGTATAACTTTTTCCCCTTATTTTATTTCTCTCTCAAAAGGAACTGAATAGGTACTTAATTCTTAATTTTTTGGAGGGTGATGTTTAGAAATATTTAACATGAAGTATTGTGTATACACATTTTTAGAGATTTTGCAGATAGTATTAGTATACAGTTCCTTCACATAGTTGTAAACAATATCAATTTAGCATAAACATATCTATAAATATATTGCATGCTGAAGTTTTACTCAGCATATTAATTTATTTGCCAGTGGGAAAATATGTAATTTAACATTTTTCAATATTTTCACAAATTTTGCATATTCTTATCTCACTTTGGGTAACAATTTGTTTCAGATTTGTTAAATAAGAGGCCTACAGCTAAGACTGTTTTTCTGCTCACCTTATAATTTGAAAAATAGCTAGTTATGCTGCAGAAAGAGTTCTGCCAGAGATTGAAGTATCTATGTTATCATTTGGGATTTCCTGATCAAAGTCATTAGGGATCGCTTATACCACATTGCGCAAATTGCCCAATTATAACTGAGGAAATAACATTTCCAAGAATGGATGCATTCACAAGATATAAAGATAACAAGATATAGCCATTTTGTTTCTAGAAGACCATGCAGAGTGGCTGCAAGGAAGTAAAAATTGTCTTTCTCCTAATAAATAGCAGGTATGGATAATCATCTGTCTTGATCCAGAATATTTTTTTAATAGGAGGAGAAGCCTAACTAAGAAGAAATATCATTCTTGGGTTTTTAAGTTTTTAAATTTTTCAAGTTCAAATTTCACAATATGTCCCATTTCAAGTATGAAACATGCAGTTTCAAACATTTTAGAACTCATTCTGGTTTCAGCTTGGAATACTTGCAAAACATTCAAGTAGTCAAGCTGCACTCCAGACAAGATAGTTGAAGCTTCAACTTGAAAGCTTCTCTCCTATCTTCCGTAACTTGGACAGCTTGCATCGGCCTTCCCAGACCTTCCCTTGCTTGCTGTACCCCCGTAACACTCCCCCCCTGTGTCATTCCCATACACCTTCCCCTAGAACTCCTGCCACTTTCCATTTACCAACCAGCAAATCTCGGGTTTACAGTGGTAACTAGGATTGCCATTGCTAAGTGATCATTCAAATGACATCACACTTTATGAATACCACATTACTTAGCGACAACAATCCTGGCTCCAATTGCTGTCATAATTTGAGGACTATATAAGATGGTAGTCCAGCGTTTTCTGATTAGTCTTGAATTGCTGATACATTTTTAAATTAATTTTGATGCCATGTAATTTCAGTTTGCTTCTGTTTAATTTTTGGCTATGTCATGTGCCAGTTTTCTTGTATAATATATATATTATAATGTGAAATACGCTGTTTTATTACTGGAAAAAGTACTTTGTTGCATATTTTTTTCATTAATGAAATGACATATGTTGCATATTGTGTGTTTTATCAGGGTTCTACAGTGCTTCAGACAGTAGGTGCTGAATCAGGATGGGAAAAAGACGCTGTGTTCCTCCACTTGAGCCCAAGTTGGCAGCAGGCTGTTGTGGGGTAAAGAAACCCAAATTGTCTGGAAGTGGAACACATAGTCACGGGAATCAAGCCACAACTGTGCCAGTCTCTAGTTCAGGTCCTCTTCAGAACCACCAGCATGCAGATGGGGGCAGTGGAAGGGAGAATGTATCAGATTTGACTTTATGCCCTGGAAATTCTCCAATTACTCGAATGAATCCCACTTCAGGAGCATTGAGCCCACTTGCCCGGCCTAATGGAACTGCCAACAGCACCAAAAATCTAGTCGTGACAGCGGAGATGTGCTGCTACTGCTTTGATGTACTCTACTGTCATCTTTATGGTTTCCCTCAGCCACGACTTCCTCGATTTACCAATGATCCCTAGTGAGTAAATTTATGGGCATGGGAGGGAAACTGAATATCCACCCAGAAGGATAATGGAAGGGTTATTCAAAATTCAGGTTATCTGCTAAGAAATCTAAAATAGTCGTTTTTGTAGATGGCTTAACGTATACAATAAAACTGTCTGCTATAAACAGAAAGCACGCATTATATTGGTGTTTATGAGATAAAACAACTCTGTGCAGTGGTAGTTGGAGAGCATTAGAACTTGGAGAGTTGAGGAAAGAAAGTCCCAGCAGTAAACTAAAACAGCTATTCTACCTTGTACCTATCTTTTTCATTCTAATGGGAATTGAGCTTATTGAATATCACAGTATGAATAAGACTTCATAATTAAGGTCTCAAAAAGAGCTGTAATTACAAATGATTTCAAGGAATATAGAATTTTCTTTTCTATAATTTATTTACCCAAGGAATTAGTTGATTGGTCACGGTTTCTGATTAGTTTTTCACAAAAAAAAGCTCAATTTGATCAGCCTATCAACAAAATTAAAGTCCTATAACTTTGTTACTGGTACTGGATAATATGTACTTGGAAGAACAGAAATATTTATGTAGTGCTAGTTTAATATTGTGATAAGAATAGAGAAGTATGGAAATGATAGAGACTGAAGATCCGCTAGAGAGTTTTTAAAATTACCTAAATATTTCATATTTATACAATGTAGTCTTTGTTTTTTGAATGGGAAGATATGCAAAATAGTTCAGGAGTGTTCTGTTCTACTATCTAGGCTGTACTGAAGCTCCTCTGGACTATGTTATTCTAGAGGCAATTACTAGTTTCTAAATGTAAATCCCCTGAACTGAAAGTAATCTGGAGCATGGTATTCCAAAATCCAGTCTCAAGGATTTTTTTCCTGGAAACTACTGAACTATCCCCAGAACAGCAAAATCTAGAGGTGGAACAGAAGGTTTGTGAGTTATCCAGAATGTTCTCTTCTTGAAGCAATGAGTGTTATGCTTCCTTATTTTTTTAGTATCCACTGATTTATAGATTATTGATACTTACAGCGTCCATGTAGAAAATGGAATGCAACAATGGTACCTTGTTGCATTTCTTTTCTAGAGTTTCTGATGTATATGATACATTTCCATGACTTTTTCCTGCATCAGAAATCGATACAACAGCGATTTCTCATCATTGCTGTTGGATTCATGATGGGTACCAAGGAAGATTGTCCTGATTCAGGATGTGTATTGCTTTTTTTTGAAAAGCAAAGAGTTTCTTAAAGGAATAAAACCTCATGTAGTATAACTGAAATGGTCAGTTATACTGACCAGTTATACAGCACTGATCCCCTGTATTGCTCATGTAATTAGTTAAGAATCACTCTGAATTCAATTTATGTTAAACAAAATTGACTATACATGAAGGCCTCACCAGTAAAGCAATAAGTAGTATGTTGAATGATGACAATTTTACATAGTTTCTTGCATATGTTTGGGAAGCATTGCTAGTTACCAAAGAGACGGTATTGGGATAAAGCAATATAATCTAATAGAATGTAGTATATATCCTATGCTTTTTAAAACTTGCTTATACCAAGCACAATTGAAGAATTCTATATCAGATTCAAATATTAAAAGTCATGGTTTAAATAAACATATAGGGTCAATTTATACTGTTTCCCAGTTTTGTAACTCATACATTTCCTGAAGCATAGTTTGTAATTAAAGATATGGGTGACTTTGCACAACATTCTAGGATAAAATATGATTGGCTACTTCATGGTTTAATAAATTATGTTTATTACTGTGCTTAGTTTATGGTTTAAAGTGTTATGTGAACCAAGCATTTTGATTAATTCAGTGATCTTGGATTAGTGTACTCTAGCTAGATCAAGATGTGCCCGTGAACATTTTTCTCTGTACAGTTATAATTCTTAAAAGAATAGGAGAAAATTATGAATATATTAATAACTGGAAAATTTTTAATAATTAATAACCAGGAAGACTTTAGCAAAGCAGTATGGGTTAGTAGTGAACACGTTGAATGAAGTCTAGGGAAACTTAGGTTCAAATTATTCTCAGCCATGGAAGCTCACTGAGTGTCTTTCTGCCTGGCTCTTTTCTGCCTAAACTCCCCATGATGTTGTGAGAAGTATTAGAGAGAAAGTGTTATATATGGCACATTGAACACCTGAAGGAAAAGTCAGATATAAATGTAATAAATATCTAGACATCTACTTAATAGAGTTTTATGCCATGGCAAAATATTTCTGCAAAATAATATATATATGATTGCTGTTGATACTTTGACAGTTTCTTGGCCCATGTGTTGTCAGCAACACTTATAACATTTGACTTCAGTAGTTGGGTATTTTTTTCCTGTAATTTGTATTCTCTATGAAATGCTACTTGTATAATGTAAGAGTTGGAAGTTAACTTGCATTGGAAGTTAACTTGGCGATTCATCCTCATGATGCACAAATCTATGGTAATAATACAACATTGCCTACAGCTGCTAGTCCAGCCTCTATTTAACACCTTCTCTGCTTAAACAATCCACCACTTCGTGAGGCAATCTGCTCCATACTGTACAGTTCTTACCATTTTTTTATGTTCTAGTAAACCTGCTAAATCAAAACCATTTTTGGTTGTCCCGTTTTCTGAAACATCTCTAAACAGTTCTGTCCGATAGGATTGCCTTTCAGAGATTTGATGGCATCCATCTTTTCTCTGCAGTGTTTTCTTCTTCAACTAAACATACCAAAACCTCCACCTGCTCCTCATAAGTTTTTTTTTTTTTGCTTTCCAGGCCTTTTATCATATTGGTTGCTCTCATTGGGCATGTTCTAGTTTGACCATGTCTTTTCTATAATATGTGCTTACAACTGGATGTAGTATTCTAGAAGTAGGATGATTAAGTGAGAAGTGAGAGGAACAATGATTTATATCAAGGGTGTCAAACTCAAGGCCCGTTTTCCCTGGCATAGTGTTTAGGCCACCACAGGCACCCCGACAGTGATGTCGAGCTGACCATGCCCACCCTGGCCCCCAGAGGTCAAACACAACAATCCTGATGTGGCCCTCAATGAAATTGAGTTTGACACCCGTGATTTATATTGATCCTGATATTGTACTTCTATTAATACAGCTTAGGATTGCTTTTTCTTGTTTCATTGTTTGGAGCTGCACAACATTGTTGGATCATATTCAGCTTGTAATCTACTAGATCAGTGATGGCAAACCTTTTAGGCACAGAGTGCCCAAACCAGAAGGTGTGTGTGTGCATGCATGTGCTAGAGCACTGGAAATCCGCCGACTACTGGCCGGCATGCATGCCCGCCTCAGAAACCCAATGACCAGCTGGCTGAGCTAGGGCAATGGCGCCCGTGCCCACAGAGAGGGCTCTGCGTGCCACCTCTGGCGCATGTGCCACAGGTTCGCCATCACGGTACTAGATCCTTTTGATATATATTGCTGCCTGTGTCATATACACGCTTTTAATTTTTTCCTATTTCAGTATAAGGCTCTAGATTTTTTGCTATGAATTTCATCTTGCTGCTCTTGCTACTTATTTGAGTTTATCAGGATCTTCCTGAATCTTTTTATTATGTATTGAGAAGTTTGCTGTCCCTCCATATTCATGTCATAAGCAAATTTGATAACCATAGATAGTAATCCTTTAGTCAAATTGCTTACAAATATGTTGAACAGCACAGGACTTAAAATGAGTTCTGCAGCACAACAGTCAGAACTAACTTCCAGCTTAGAATGGCCTTCGCTGAACAGCACCTAACAGGGAGTTACACTGGCCTTATCTTAACAAAATACAATTCTGTAGAAACAATTTCAAGATGTTAGATGGAGTCTAACTAAGATGCTCACCACTATGATAGACATTCTAGTGGGAAAAATAGGGTTTAATGAAAGTTTCGTTTGCCAACTGACTTTGAGATTTACTCTTCTGAGTAAAAATGGTAATACATAAACATGTCCTTATTACTATGATGTTCTGCCAGTAGAATACTGTAAGAGGAACTGTGTTTTGTCCTAATACTACTACATCAGTGTAGCATTACACTGATAAAGGTATTGGTGTGATTAGAAATATCCTCTTATATATAATGGAGAGCCAAAACAAAATCATGATAGAACTGCTACATTGCTATGGTGTAATTAAGATTTCAATTAACCCTGTCTTTAATCCCAGTTTATCTTTACCAGTACATAAACCCCAGACAAGATTTCTAGCTGAAATATTAGAGTTTGCTCTTGTCTGTGTATATGAGAGAAGGAGGGAGGTAAAACAGTGTGATAATGAGAATGAGAGAACATTTGCAACTGACCAAGGGACTGTGTGATGATGAGAAATACAGAAGAATACTTTGCACAATAGTTCACCCTGCCCAGAGGATACTGCTGACATTTGCTAGAGAACTCCCAACAGCTACCTTATCCTAAGACATGAATGTCTATCATCAACACTACGCCTACAACTGGGATAAAAGGACAAAGCATCTTGAACAGGTAAGCTATGTATGGTGGAATGCCAAAGAGGCTTTGGGGACACAGAGAGGTAACAAAACAGTTAAGGGAGGAGGAAATAGGGGCACTGTGAATCAGATTGTTGAGTCTGGGGAAGAGGAGAAGCATGAAAAAGATGACCCAGATTAACTGTACCTTAATTACAGTCCATACAAGCTATGAATTTACTTGGTAAATTTCATTTCAATATTGTTACATTAGTCCATAAGCAATAAAGAATGTTTGAGGAATCTTCAGATTTTTGTTTCCGAAACTAGCCAGGCTTGTAGAGCTTGAAACCATACTTAAGAGTAAGAATTTCCATAAATATTCCCACCCCTTCCAATAAAAAAATGAAAGCTGCCTTTTGACTAATTTTATCAGCAAATTGATATTTTCTTCTATAATACTTTGATGCAGGTTTAGCATATGTGCTCCAGTATAGCCATGAAAACACTAAATGCAAATAAATAGCTGTTAGTGAAAGCTAGATATTCTAAATCTTGCTCCTT